TACAAATTTGATGGTATAAATTTTTCTGTTTTGTATTTATCCTAGTGAACTTTTAAACAGTACTTGACTTTGACTTTAAAATGTGTAAAAAGAAAGCTATTATAAAAATATTTTGCTTGAAACTGGAAATTATTTTGTAGAGGGCAAAGTAGATGCTTTCTAGGCTGCCAAAGGAATGTGGTCACAGTATCAGGATCTTTGGATATATTAGAAACTTCTCTACTTATTTTTGGGGATTTTCTCTGCATCTGCAAAATATGATAACATTGCATTTTTTTGTAAGTTTTGTAAGTAAAACATGATAGTTTTACAGTTTTTTATAAGTTTTTTATAAGCCATCTCACAACAATCACAGGTGGGGTATAGCTCTGCAGCATGACAACATTGCTCATATTATCAAATTATGTTAGCAATGTTAGCTCACTGCTAAGTGAGTACCAGGGCTGATGTGTTTTTAAAGGAAAGCCTTGTACAAAACGGGGTGGGCGAAGGTGGTATTATTGACGGAGCCGGGTTTGCTAGTCTGGAGTGCAGCAGCATCTCTGCTGAGAAAATGGAAACCCTTCTGGCATGGAACAGGGAATAAATTCCAGTCTCTGTAGTCCATAAACTTGCTTGGTAGCTTTTGGCTTGGCCTACTGTTTTTTGGCAGTTCTCCATGTGTATTCAAAGTGGGTGTTTTTTTAAGAGATACTGTATGGTTTGCTCTTCAATGGATAGCTGCTRTCTTAACTGATAGTACTTGGTGCTGCTTCAGGGCTGCTGCAGAGACTGTGGTAGAACTGATAGCCTTGCAAGACTTGCAGGCAAGACTCTTGTTTCATACAGCCAAGTGACAGCCTAAGTCTGCCTCACGTTTGCTGCCAAAACAGCTAGTGGTGTTTATGATCTCCTAAAAGCTACACCATTTTACAAGTATTCCTGAGATTAAGAGCTTGTAATGCCTCTTAAGCACGTAGAGTTACACTGCGTATGCAGCTTTTATCACCTGGCTCAAACAAAGTTCTTGGAAGGACGGAGCAGCCACACAGGCAGGTAGGAACTGGTATGTTATTCACATTTTATGCAAAGATGCCTTGTTGTTTTGCATGTCAGCTGCAAAAATGTTGCAGGGAGTATGAGCTGTCACCTTTCAGCTTTCTTTTTCCTTTGTTCTAGGCTTTAAAGCTGAGATCTCAGGCTTGATACTTAAAGGATTTTTAAGAACCTGTCTTAAGCAGTGTTCAATGCTCAGTTAAATGCCTTGTCCTGTGGTCTGTTATATCAAAGGGAGCATGGAGTGGATGCATGGAGCAGATTATTTACCTGCTCTGGTGCCACAGCATGATTTTAAAGGACAGGAATCAACAATCTGCATTGCAGGATTGCACAGTCCACTTCAGCAGTCCTTTCTTAAGAGATAAGCCATAAGTCTTTAATAGAAGCCTCTGGTAAATGCAGCAATTTTGAGACATGAATATAACTCCTTGTCACAGCAGGGACCCCCATGAAAGGTGGCTGGATCCAGCTAAAGAAAGAGGCAAGTTAACTCTACCCTGCTTTCAGGTGTGTCCCTGTGTGTGAATACCTTTTCTAGATGAGAGCTACCATACCTCAGGATGTTGCCACTCCCCTAATCACATCTGGGACAAACATGGAAGAGTTTTGTAGCCTAAATAGTTGAAACATGTAGGAGTGGTGCACTGGTAGATGGTCAATGGCAACTGCTTTTCTCTTGTCCTGTGCTTGCCAGTCATGATGAAGGGTCTCTAAGGAACAACATCATCCATGAGGAGACTTGGAGATTCAGTGATCCATTGTTTGCTCTTTCTTCCTGCAAATGAAGTAGTGGGCATGTGACAAATGTGGATCATGACAAAGGTGGATCTCCACCTCCATGTCATCCAGTGCGACAAGTTTTAGGTGTCCCTGCTTGTGCAGAGTGGTTGGACTAGATGATCTCCAGAGGTCCCTTCCAACCTCAACCATTCCATGATTCTGTGAAGGCCGACAGTCAGTTCAGAAGCCAGAGGAACAGGTTTAGCTGTCTGCCTTGGGAAGTGCGCTTAACCCTAAATGTGGGAAAGGCACTTCAGTCAGGCCTCAAGCTAGGACCTCCAGTGCTGACCGTGGCCTTGGACTAAGGTAGACAAACATTTGGCTGAGACTAATGCACTGTGTAACAGGTGAAAGGTTTTCTGAGAAGAGCCGTGATACAAGTGTACCTGGTTTGGAGCACTTGCAAGTCCCAGTGCACGGGGAGGCACTGTGTTTGTCACGTGGAAAGGCATGCTCATGATCCACGGCACCTGTAAGATTGGCACCTTGGTGAATAGGCTAGCCAGGCTGGCTAGCCYAGGCTTTGTGAGACTGTGACTGACATATGGGAGCATGAGGAAAGTGTGACATTCTCAGCAAGTTCCTCCTTTACCCTCTGTATCATGAACAGGAAATTCTTGGGCTCGGGATCCCATGTTTAATCAAAACAATTTGTTGCAGTGGCAAAAATTAACAGGTTGCCTGATCTCTGCTTGAATAATTGGAGGACTTCTTAACATTGCTAAGAAAGCATAACTGAGAAGTTAAGTGTCTGGGATCTCTGGGAAAAGTAGAAATAGTCTTCTATAATGGGACTGTAAAATTGAGTTTAGACTTTATAACAGGTATGTTATATTAGAATTAATGAGCATGAGGTTTTCAAAGCTTTTTGAATGAAGGCTTATTTCGCAGAGAAGTAGAAAAAATTGAAGTGTTTTAACAGGAGAGAATCTGCAACTTGTATGTATACATATAACCCAAGGGTAGCATTGGCTAGCTGTTTTATCTAGGCTGGGAATTTGTAATTTTAATGGAAATAGCAACAGTTACCTGGGACGGTTTCTGGCAGCACAGAGGTATAGAGGTACTTTATATTTGGAAATGGGGAGCACCAGGAAGGGAATTCCTATTCCTATTGTTCACTTTTCTGTGAATACATTGTTTCTGCCTGAATAATTTTTGAGAACATAGATTTGGTGGAGTATTGCATGAGGCGGAATTTGTTTAATCTGACGTTGAGACATGTTAGGTGACCTGTTTGAGAGCATAGTTACAGTGTCACAGTGATCATTCTGTTATTCAACCAGAGGGGAGGAATTTTGCACCTCGTGTCTGAGCAGAGGAAGGAATTTTTTTTCCAGAGAATACTGTAGCTGATCATTTTCCTGACTCTGATCTGGTACAGATTAACAAAGATAGAGGCATATGGATTCTCTAGAAGGTTTGTGGCCTCCTAAACATCATTTAGTTCTGCTGTTAGAAAGCAGCATTTGTTTGCTAGGTTTGCTAGGTTTCTTCTGAATAATAACATAAATCACTTCACTCCTGTTGTTAGGTACCGCGAGCTCTTACGTTGCCATTAAGCTTAAGGCAGATGAGTCTGATTTTTCCTGTTTGACAGTATTTTGTGTATAAAATTTCTGTCCTACTGTATTTCGGCAAATGGAGAAAAAATATCAAATAACTGTCCATGTTAGGCAGTTTTCTCTTCATAGTATGGAATAATTTTGCTAAAGAACAGCAGCTATTAGGTGCGAGCGTCTCTGATAAGCAAGTGACAGAGGAGCCCTTGATACCATCCATGAGCTCTTGAGAGGACTGCCTCAGAACACTGAGCAGATAGCAGTTCAGCTGCAGCGTTTGGGGGGATAAACCTGACCTCATGACCGAGAGAAATGAGTACTGCGTGGTGCACGTTGCTGACTCCGTATGAAACATGTGCAGCCATTAAACATGTGCAGCCACTGACACTTCTCTGACAGTCTGACAGCCCATTTTCATGAAATATCAATGGGAAATATTTTAGGATTGCCGTTGTTGGCCTGTGACCGTAGTGCAGTGAAGGCTTGCTCTGACATTTTAGATCTCTATGTTCTGTGAAGACAAATACAGTTTCTAAAGGGACCTTCTGGGGCCCCTTCCAACCTGCGTTATTCTGTGGGCATTCTGTTAGTGAGAAATTGAAGGGAATCTTGCCTCTGCAGACCATGTTTCAGGGTCCTCATTTGCCTGGGATGCTCCTCTGCCTGTTCCGCCTTGCTTCTCTGTCTAGAAAGTAAGATTATCTCGGTCACAGGAAGGAATAATTCCTGAAATTTTTGAAAAAATGTGAAAGTATTATAGTGCCTATTAACCAATGTACATATCATATATCATATCATATRTTCATATTGTGTTATCATATGATGATTTTGCATGGAGGCAGTGGGGGGCGGTAATGCGGATTAAGAGGTGAGATTTCCTGCCTGTCAGTATTTCAGGACTCCTAGTGAAGGAAGGAATGTTGGTAAATAATTTCTTCACTGCCCTTTCTTACCTAGTTTCACTAAATGCAGGTAAATGCAGTGCTCTTTCAAGGAAAACGGAAGCACAGATTGGTCTAAGGATATTTCCTTCAACCTTCAAGCAAAATCTTATTTTATGAATTGTTGTTTTGAATGAATTCAACAATGAATTACAGTTATAGAGTTTTTTATTAATGCAGCAAAAAGAACAGCATACAAGTATCTTGGGAAAAAAATACTAATATTTTCTGTTATGGCTTATAACACTACAAAGATAGAGAGTCTGCAGGTAGGAATGTGCTTTTTTTTTTT